TTTAAAAGCCGTATCTTAAGTTCTTTCTCCTAAAACTTCAGCTCATTTATGACCACTGGTTCTTGGGGTGCTATCCCAAGACTTCTAAAAATGCCATTAATCACCTCTACAGTACCATGCCATAGATGTGCCAAACGCTGTATTTTATATAATTTTAGGCCCTTTTAAGTTTTGTGGGCCGCTGCCTTCATATTTTGTCAAGCAATTCTGAAAAACATAACTAAGACTAAAAATTTAGTCAAAACAGAAAATCCCTCTTCTGCTCACAACTGACCTTACATTTTGTAAGCATCACCAGAGAGGAAATAACTGGTAATTCCTTCAACATGCATGAACCATATAAGCTAGTGAGCTGACAAAAATTTGTGAGGAACTGTAAACACTTCAAAATGCTTTATGTCAAGGTATTCCAGTAGCTATATTAAATCAACTTTTTCTTCAAATCAGCATTAAAAGACCTGTCACAAGTGTGTCAGATTCTGTTTTAAGCAATTTGCAATTAGCTTGTTGCTTCTCATTATATGTCTGCTCATCAGCTTTGACAAGAAGTTCTCTGCTGCCAGAATGCGATACAGAATAGTCTTTCAGAGCTGACGAGGTGTTCTTCCTTCAGAAGAAACTAAAAAGCTGAAAATGATACACAGAAACAAAACCCCAGAGTTCAACATTGAAATACCAGTGGATTGTTCTTCTACTTCAGGATTTCTCTTTTTGTAATGGTGGAATGCATTTAAAGATGCAGCGCTTCCACTGTCTCATCGAAGTCCAGACCAGCTGTGAAGGTACGAAGCCCACCCAGAGGGCCGTGAGGAACTCTCTTCCTCACCTGGAGGAGGAGAAATACATTCTGTAAGTTCATGAGGCTACACGTTACACAATTGGGAAACCTGATCTTCATTTTTCCTTCCTCTGTCAAGTCTTCAAACACTGTTCTTGTCAATTTGATGAAGAGGTAACATTCAGTACTTACACTTTGCAAAAGATGTGGACTTTAGTCACCCAGTACACTTTAAAGAAACCATTTCATTATCTTCCTTAAGAAAAATCCAGCCAGTGTTGATTAGAACGCCAAAAAGCATTGAGATGCTATAGGCTTAGTTTACATATTATTTTTCCAAACGCAACGCTTATCATGGGATGGATTATGTTGTCACTTACTCATGTGCTTTTCTTCACTAGTTTAAAATGCTTATATACACACACACTGTACTTCTTTATTCTTTAAGTAATTTTTAAATCAAGTATGCTAATGAAGTACTAGAAACTAGCTCGTTATTTACATAACTTAAAAAGATCGTATCTTTAAAAGGAATAGTAAAGGGACAAACAAGGCATCAGAGTATTTAAAGAGTAGCCAGAACATTATTACACATTATTACAGCTCTTGGGTTTATTTCTTTCAAAGGCTCAACTATTCCTCCTTTCTCCCCTAGTTCCAAAGGTTCTTAATCAGAAAGCATATTTTGCTGAAAAGTCTTTTTTAAAGCTAATTTATTGAAACTAATATTAGGTCTGCAGTAATGCCTTGAGAGGACCATTTTAATTAACTTTTTAAAACATCGGCCATTCATTTTTTATGGGAACCTCTATTTTAAGACCACTTTGACAGAAATCTTTACTAAAACATATGAACACGTTACATTACAACTTACTGTCATTTTCTAAAATGTGCCAGAACCCCACCTACCTTGGGCAATTGCAACCAGCTTCCCTTTCTCTTCAGGGCTAAGTTGCAACATGGTGTCTATTACTGGCAGCAGCCTTTCTCTTTCACTTCCAGATTTTAGGAATATGAACTGCAACAGAACATTCTTTAAATATTCTAGATTAGCCACAGACTTTTCTCTCTCCTGGTTTCGTTCCAGTCTTCTTATTTCACTTTTAAGAAGCTGCAGATGACAAGGAAAAAAATAAATTAATAGAAGACCATGCAATGTTTTTTTTGCATCATGAGACGAACACTTGAAGAAAGGAATTTTGAAGAACTAAAAGGAAAATTATGCAGCTTGCTTGAAAAAGTATAGTATATGTGTGATGAAGTATTCAAAGCTAGGCTGGATGGGCCTTTGAGCAACCTGGTCTAGTGGTAGGTGACCTTGCCTACAGCAGGGAGGTTGGAAGAAGGTGATCTTAAAGGTCCCTTCTATGATTCTGGGCAAAAACCCAATGAAACCTGAACAGTTGATAATATCCAGAAAAATATATAGAGAGAGTGATTAAAAATAATTTATTTGGATAAGATCTGTCCAGTAATTAGTAGTGAGATACAGTGCTAAAATTCACTTTCAATGATAAAGAGTTCAGAAGCTAAAAAAGCAACTTGGATCAGAGGTTTAACAACATTATCATGCATTAAGAAATCATAAAAGAAATGTTAGCCTGTTTTGAGAATACGTTACCTTTAAAAATGCTTCAAGAGAAACCCTGGAGATGTGATCAAATACAACCAAATTTTGTTAGTACGTGTACCTCTAACCACGCATCTTCTTTTATATTAAGACAGGTAAAAGGGATTATAGGGAGAGAGACCAATGTTTCCCTTGGAATTTACTGTTTTTAGCCAAATGCAAACAGTAAAGGCTCTTTAGCTGATATTAAACTTCCAAACTCTGCCTTTTTAGTAGAACTGGTAGTAGCTTTTATTTCCCTTCTTCCCCTAGATATGAAAAACTGGGGAAAAAAATCCTCAAGGAAGCTTTAGAAGTAATAACTACTCCCGTGAATTTTAGAAACCCCTCAAATTAAAGTTTTGTGTTCCCAAATTTCTATAGACTGCCATTTTCTGAAACATATTCAGTGTTAAACATTTCATTTAGGAAATACACCATACAAATTACAGCTGTCCCCACATTTACTGCATGCCCGCTGACCTTTATTTGCTCCATCAGAATTGCATTGGTCGCTTCTGATTCACGAAGTAATTCATTCAGGTGATCAGCACTCTTTGTTGTTGTGCTTAGTTTCTCAATCAGTTCATCCTTGGTGAGCTCTGTTTGCCACTGGGATGTTTCTGCAGTGAATTGAGAAAGAAAAGTGAAGGAGGAGGAAAAAGGACTTACATCTACTTCATGCTAAGTTAACATTATGACTTGATTAATGTAGTTTCTAAGATGTACACAGGAAATGAAATCCATGCATACTCAGACTGCCAACTAACATCATCATTTCTGCTGCTGCATGCTTGTTTTGTGATTTATTTTTGTACATCCACATTTTTTTGAACTGATTTGCCAGTCTCCTCGTAAGTACATCAAGATACATGGATTTAATTTACCCCCTGCTTTCCACTCATAGATGAAGATTTTTCAACATTTCTCCACACGGTATTCAGCAGACTTTCAAAAATATGGTTAGATGCTACCACTTATTTGTCTACTTTTTGGGATGCTGTTCTTCATGCTACCTTTCATTTTCCTGAAAAAAATATGAATGAGTTCCTGTTCTAATAAACCACATTAAGTTGAACAATTTATCCTTTCATTAACAAGAGTCTCAAGTAGAGACTAGTCATTTTGCACCAGAAGTTCAGTAACCATTCACTGACATACTCATCCATCCTCTTCCCTTCAGAAAGTTAAAAATATGAGATTTCATTAATCTGTATTCAAGGAGAAGACCCATACAGAAATTCCAGACAGTGTATACTCAGGGCACTAATTAAATGTCTGTGCTGCAACTAAAAGCATGAAGAACACAACATTCTCATATATTTTGAGGGCACAACCTCCAATGCTTATAAAAGCCACATGTTCTACCTACCAGGTTTTGTTTCTGGAGAGTTTAGAAGCTGCTCCAAGGATGGTATGTAGGTGCTGGCTGAAGAGACAGACTCGGTGTCTGTTGTTTCCATACCTTCTCCTTCCTCCCTTGCTACAGCATGCACATCTACAACAGGAAGGTCCGTGTTTCGCCGTTCTCTTAAGTTCTTTGGTACAGGATTTGAAACAGCTGGACCTGAAAGATACTGATGTTTGTCACTGAAATAAAATACATGTACACCTATGAAATAACACAAGCTATCTCAAATTGGAAAACAATATGTAATCTACGGACTTGAAAGCTAGACACAAGCAAGTAACAGAGCCCTTTAGCTCCAGATCACCATTTCAGTCAAAGCCAGTTTCCAAATCTGATCTTAATTAACAATCTTCATTCAGGGACTGTGAAACTATAATGCATCATACCTTGCAGATGCTGAAGCTTTGATAAGAGTGCCAAGTGTTTCTGATGCAAAACAGAATTAGCTTTTCTTTCAAACAGTCCTGTGGGTGGTGTAAGTTAGTCTGCTATAATGCTTTGTGTGCTATCCTGCTGCTTCAGTACACTACCAGTTACTGCAATACAGCTAAGTAACATATGGAAAGAGCAACTTAAACTGTTACTGTTTCTTGGCAATTATCTGACTGCATCCTAACGAGTAACTACACAGATTTTAAAAAGGAGCACTTAAGTCAAGCAGAACAGAATTTTATATTAGACATGGGAGCAAATAGCAAGTATACCAATAATGAATATTGTTAAAAATCTTTCAGTATACTCTTGTGTAGCTTTACTCATCGTACTGGAGGGCAGAGACCTGTTGAGCTTTCCAAAATCTGCGACAAACTGATGGGAAGAGCACCAACTATTTACAAAGTGATTTCTCTCTATCTGTCTTCCAATGCAGACACTGCAGAAAACTTAACTGTGATATTGATTCTGGAGGTATGGTAATAATAAGACCTCATTCTTTACCTGAAACCAGAGGACTGATATGACTTACTATCAATTTGCCACAGTAACTTTCTGTTGTATTACAGAACCACAAACTGTAACTGTGTTTCCACTACAGTCTCAAGTACACATATTAATCTCCAAGAATATATAACCCAAGAAACCTGGTTTCATGACCAAAAGTTACCTCTAGTGCTTGGTTCACTCTTGAGTTGGAAAAGCTGAGCTTCTACTCTGGACAGTTGCTGCTGAAGTGTCTCTACTGTCTTCCTGTGTTCTTCTTGCAGGTTCCTGACTTGATCTCTGAAATTGTTCCGGAGAGCTTCATTCTGGGCTGTCAGCTGACTCAAAGCCTGAGCATGCTCTGTTTTCATGACCATATTCTCAGACTGTATTGTGCAGAACCTGAAAACAGCATAAACACAAAATATAAGAAACATACAACAAAACTCGTTCTCAACACAAATTGCTTACAGTTTAAATTAATTCTCAGTCTTTGTATCTTAGAATGTCTGTTTCACTTTTTTCCCCTACTTTATCTTTCCCCAGGGCAAATCTAAGAGTAAAAAAGTGCTGTTTATCACCAATCCTAGGAATGTACTGTGTGATATAAGCTTTTGACTTCTATGTCAGAAGATAAAATTCAGACTTTGGGGGAAAAGGAAAAAAAAGGAAGTAGAGACAGGCTGTGGTCTGAGTATTTTGCTGTGATCTGAACATTCTTTAAGTGAAAAACTGCAACATAACCGTTTGTCCTCATAACACACACGTATTTCTTTTCCTTTACCATTTATTTACCGAAGATCCATGCAGGACTTCTGAAAATCTTGATTTCTAAGAAAAGAGGTTTAATTACTTGATTAACTTTAAACTTCAGAACTCGGCGCGAAAGAGGGTAGGATATCATTCATCTTTCTTGGCAAGCAAAATATCAGTATACCACATCAATTGTAGTGAATTTGGAGGCACTCCAGAAACAAGACAAAATTGTCAGAAGCAATTAAACAAGTGCATGTATGGAAACACTAAGCATAGAACTTGCCCTTATAAGTGTATAAATTTAAATTTGGCCAGTGCAGTAAAGAGCTAGCATTTCTGGCTATGAAAGGAACCTACTGTGGTATAGGTGGTTTCCAGAGGAATGCAAAAGGACATGATTTAGATGATTCCAATGAATCATCATGTGGATATCAGGAAACAGCACAACAGATTAAGACAAAGAAATCAACAGTTTCTAAGACTAAACTGTAATTTCTAATGAACTTCTCATGAATTTTTGTACCCTAAAAGAAGGCATGGAAAAGCTTTTCTAAGAGCTCAAGTAAATACCTATTCATGTCATTTGTCAGGAAATTACACAGATTAAATAGATTCCTTTTGTTTTGAAAGAAGTAGGAAATTATGATTGTGGCAGGCATACACTTCAAAAAAAAATCTTCTGTAAAGAAGGTACTTAGTGGATATTTTGATGTTAAAATAGCTTATCTTTAACTACAGTATTGTACTAAAAGGAAACACGTGCATAAAATATTGTTGAGCAGTCCAACACAAACGTAGTGCTGAGTTTAAGACATAAAAATAGTCAGTAAATTCAACATGCTTAAAAAAAAATTAGCTTTAAAAACTTGATATTTAACAAGTAAAAAGCTATCAGAAATCTCATATTTCCTCATCAGCTACTACTTTGTTTTCACTGCTGGAACCTCTGAAGGCTGCCAAAAAGTAGCCAATAACACTTTTCAAAGTTCCTTTAACTTTCTCTAAAATTACACCCTCCCTTTGGAAAGCACTATTTGAAGCCAGCTGCACAACCAGCACTTCAGATTCAAACAAAATAAACCATCTTTCATCAGCAGAGCATACTTTTCACGGAGTTCTGCCTCTTTTGCAACAGTCTCTTGCAGCATCTTATTGTGCCTTTCCAGCAGGGTGTCATGTTCAGATTGCAACGCCTGGAATTCAGCTGCATTCATCTGTAAATTATGCTGAGTTTCTTGTAGCTTAACTTTTAGTTGTTCTATCACCATTTCCAATTGTTCTCTACAAGGGAAAAAAAAAATACATTTAGAGTTATCTTATTATTATACCCACAATGTTTATGTAGCCAATTGGAGTTTTTTAAGAATTTATTTCTGTATTTAAATTACCTACAGCACCGTGACCAAAATAACCTCAGAGTGCGACCCCAGAGAAATGGTTAGGAAAGACCTGATTACATTTCTATATTGTTGCAGATGAGTTTAATCACATCCTGCATGAACTGCTGGAAATGTACCAACTCGGGTAGAAGCTGTGACCACTCCTACTTTCTGCTTCAACTCAGTTTGAATCATAATTGAATCATGGAATCGTAGAATGGCCTGGGTTGAAAAGGATCTCCAGTTCCAACCCCCTGCTGTGTGCAGGGTCACCAACCACCAGACCAGGCTGCCCAGAGCCACATCCAGCCTGGCCTTGAATGCCTCCAGGAATGGGGCATCCACAGCCTCCTTGGGCAACCTGTTCCAGTGCTTCAACACCCTCTGTGTGAAAAACTTCCTCCTAATATCTAACCTAAACCTCCCCTGTCTCAGTTAAAAACCATTCCCCCTTGTCCCATCACTGTCCACCCTTGTAAACAGCCATTCAGAGGAATTAAATGGAAGAATAGTGTGTGGCATGCAGGTGGGAGAAACCATTCCTTCTTGAAAGTGGTAGAGAACAAAACAGAGTTTTGTTCGTTTAGTAAATGCACATCAGTTCAATGAGACTGAAAGCAGTGGACAGGAAGTGGGCGGAAGCGACTGGCAAAAAGACTGGCAAAGGTGTAGAAAGCAGCATCAATCCAAATAAGGTAGATTTCTGACCAACAGAGTTGATATTGGTAAATCATTTCTTTGAAAATTATTTATTACTTGTAAAAATTATTTTTTACTTGTTCATTTTGGAAGCACAGTAGCCTGCTTTCACAAAAACCTAATAACTGAGCTTGTTAAAATTCTGCAAACAGGAGACAAGAAAAGCAACTCTTGCAATTTGCTGGCTTCAGAGGAGGTGTATTAAACAAACCAACCAAACAAATAACAGAAAAACCCAAGTCCTCTAACAATACCCAAGTCTCCCTCTGGTGGATTTTCAGCAGCATCTTTATGTACTAAGATCTGTGTCAGAAATGACTTTTGACATCTTATGCATGAACATCCAGTCTGTCACTATGGTCAGCTACCAATCACTTATAAAAATAGCTTACAGAAGCTGATCTCTTTGAAATGAGATTCAACCACTGATACGAAAATGAATTTATGTGGCTTCCAATTATACTTAAATGATCTTGGAGTAATCTTTTTTTCAAGACTTTCCTTCTAAAGTAGCTGGTAAGAAAACTTAAAAGTCTGCTAGAATTGATGACTGAATGGCAGCTAGAACTTTACCCACACTACACCACTCCTTCCTGAAAAAGATCCAAGTGAGTTCAGCTGAAAAGTACCAACTGCTGTTTACTTCTCTTAATTGGAAATAGTGCTTTGCTTCAGTGCTTTATTGTCAGAGAAAATGTCAGGTTTACTCAGTTATGTTGGCTAATTCCTGGTCCTGAGAAACATGAGAGACTTCCTAATACCTTACTTTTCCCTCTGTCTGAAACAACAGGTAATCTGCACAGAAATAAATCTGTTAGAGACAAAGCAAAGAATTACAAACTAGCACAGTACCACTGACAGCTGAGATGTGGTACAAATGAATGATCTGCTATTCAGATGGGTACAGCCATGGTTAGAAAGCAATGTTAAAGATCAGACAGTTCTAATTTTACACACACAATTTTTTCCCCCCTCAGACCAAATTATCAGAGGCAAACTGCCTCCTTTACAGTATTTTCCATACTTAAGAAAAAGCTAAATAGTGGAACTCACTAACATTAACAGCATAACCCAAGCAGCAATATTTTTCTGTATGGATGTAAAAACTCTGGCTTTACCTTTCTTGTTTGGCTCCCTCAGTTTCTGTCTGAGAAGCAGATTTATTTTTTTGTTGCTTTAAAACATTATGAACACGAACTTTGTAGCTCTCAAATTCAGATGTAACAGATGCCTGCTCAGCCTATGACACAGGAAAAAAAACCTCTTAGGAAGTTATACTATTGACAGTTGCTCACCTATTTGCTCTAAGACAAAATGCATCTTGTACTAAAAAAAAGTCAAATGAAGAGCTATCAGTTCCATTTTCCTCTTTTGAATGAACAATTTAAATGGCATCATGACAGACCATGCTTTTTTAGATCGTAATCAAATCAATTATCAGTCTAGAAACTTGAAAACAGTAAGTCACCGACATTCAACATCCCAGCCTTCAAGAAAAAAAGAATGTTTACTAATATAACAACAGCATTCAACAGATATTCATAAGCAAATTCATATTCATTAGAAGGGGGAAAAACAAAACAAAAAAAAACAAACAAACCCAGCCTCCTCCTCAGAAAACCTGAAAATTATGCATCATTTTAAGTCAGCCCTGTAAGGATACAAAGCAAGCTATATCGTAGCTTCAGAAGAGCCAAAAGAGCCAAAAGAGTATTTGGTCTGCCTTCTCTTCTGAAGTCAGCTGATACATAAGTTTGTTATCTCTGGACAGATTACCTCACAATTTAAAGTCCTTTATTGTACACCACATAGGCAAGAATTATTCCTACCTGAGAAATAACACCTTTCAAATGCCCATGCTGTATATTTCTCTAGGAAAACACAGATGCAGGTTTTCATTCTTGATTCTTAAAGAAGCTTACGAGTTCACCAGTCATTCTTGATGACTGAACTGCTCTAATCTCCACAGTGACCTACACTTACCAGTACCACCCAGCCAAACCCACTGTCACAGTAACCAGTTTTCCATTTCACCTTTTTAAAATTTAGAAGTTGTTTAGCAGGATACATTCATGTTACTTTTCTGCAGGACTGACACCTATCATACAACACAGGGGGTAACACGGTGCACTAACCTACATAGGAACAATTGGAACAGAACATTCCCATATTCTGAATCTGCCTCTAATGCAAACACCAGGTTAGCAGATTCCAGGCATATCTAACACAGAATGACATTGCCAAAAAATAGCAATACTAAAAACCTCTGCAAGTGTCAGCTCCAGTTGTAGCTGACAATTAAGAAGCTGCTCATATACCAGCCTACTGATTGTCTTAAGTGAACTGTAGCTTTCCACTGCTACAAGATTTTTACCATTGTTAATATAAAGACTGCAGTCCAGACATTCTACCACAAATGCTTCGTGACAACCAGGACAGACCAGCTTGTCCTCTATACCACCACACAAATACACCAAGTACTGCGGTATTCTCAATTCCTGACAGACAAGATAGCAACAGCAAAAGATCTGCAAAACATTT